GCAATTTGTGGTAGGAAATCATCGTGCCCGCAAACGTCAGGCACGCATGGATAAGTTGCCTGTGATGTTTGAATACGCATGTTAGGCTGGCTAAAGAGTTCATCGACCTTAGCACAGATGAAGGAGAAATCCGATTGCAGTCACAGATAGAAGGTTGGGATAAACCCAATCTCTGGGCCGCAATTCCCTGCACATCCGGATCAGCATAAGCCAATTCAAAAAGAAATTGAAACAAAAGGTTAGAGAGTCGAGAGAGTTGTTCTCCAGATTCAGACGTCACGCTGAGACTGTCCTCCATCAGGGGGGTAGTGTTTCGTTTGAATGGCCAAGGGATTGTGACAGCTGGGCTAGGGATGATGTTGCTGCATTCTTTAGGGAATACGCACAGGTCTTCACCCCAGCGACCTTCCACGGTTGCGCCCTAGGTCTAAAGGACAGCAACGGTTGCCCCATCAAAAAGCCATGGAAAGTCATGACCAGCAATAGCACCCTCGCATCTGCGCCAAGCGCATTCAAGTGTCCGCACGAAAAAGGGTTTAATCACTCGCTTGCAGCAGGTAACAAGACCGCAAAGACCGCTTTCTACCCCGAAGGCATGCCTGCGATGCCTGTCCAAGTGCCATTGCCTCTCGACCACCGGGAACGTGAACAGCAGCTAAAACACATATCCCCTCTCTCTGGTTTGGAAGATATAGGTATTGCTGTCGAGTCCGATGAAAAGTGTCACGACATCCTCGAACAAGTTCTTGATGTTGAAAATCTCATCGCACATTCCCTAGGACAAGTCAAGGAGGAGAAGGATCCTGAAATCACCGCAATGGTGACTAGACTCTTGTCACGTGCCGAAATGTTGGCTTCCCCGGAAGCCCTTGAAGCCGTTCGACTTGAAGCCACAGGCCTGGAGAAGGCCGGTGTTTGGGATCTAAATTCAGTCCGAGAGTACGATCAAGTCGCTGAGGCGCGACGATCCAGTGTAAAAGTTCACTTCGGGCAGTTGATGTCGCTAGCATCCGTCAAGTTCGCCGAACTCGCGAAGCACCTTCAAAAGATGAAAGGTAGGATAGTGTATCGCGGAGACTGTGCGAAAGACGAACATGGTGCAGCGGCTGTATACCAAGAATTGGGAGCTAATCCCACGAGCGTACAAGGTCTTAATAACTGTCTTGCTTACGGATCCCTGCCAGGGAATTCCACCACAACAGCGGACGCTATAAAGGCTTACGTACAAGCACTGCTGAAATCCAAGTACCCTGAATATCCTCATGGATCTTGAGATGAAATGGCCTGTCCAAGATCAGCTCCCATAAGCTGAGCGCAGGTAGTGCCTCCTGGTACAGGGAGTACGCAAGAGACACTATTTCCGCCTCGGTCGTCGATCGGGAGACCGAGGTCTGCCTTTTCGACAACCACGCGAGGGGAAAGTGCGTATGTGGACCACTCAAAACCAAGAAACCGCCGGACGTTGATTTTGCGTCTCGTTCTCCAGCGAAATCTACGTCCACATAGAGAGACAGATGCAACTCATCAGTCGAATCCTGAACTGTGCCAAGTAGGGTGCTGTTCACCGTGCTGTTAATGTAGCAGACAAGCCTGTGTAACTGCTTATCGCAGTTCCTAGACCATTTCTGAACAAAGGAAGCAAGGTCACCAATCGGCTTGACCAGGTCCGGGCGTGCCAAACGCCCCAACCATAACGCCTTCATCAACACGCGGCAAGCGGCGAAGCCGAGCTCACCCTCCAAGGCGTCATCTGCAGGGTCTAAAGATCCAGCGGGACAGAATGGAGTGGTGGCATCACGCAACTTTTCAGTTTTTAGCTGTGCAACCTCAAGATATAACGCAACCGTTTGACGAGCATAATCTCGCATGTCGAACGCCATGCCCCCTTTCAAGCTGCCCATTGCGGCATTAAGATCAGGTTCAATCGGGTCCTTCGGAGCATTTATCAAAAGGTGATTCCCGCCTAGCGCCCGATATATGTCTTCTGGGGGTTCTATGTCTACCAGTCTCGTTAACTTTTCCCAGAAGTCTTTATGAAGGTGGCTGGGGCCGGCCAACGTCAAGTCGTCGACGTATGTCGAGAGAAGTAACCCGGACTCCTTGAACCAGAAGTTTCCAGGAAACTCTGCGACTTCACGCCCTCCAAGTTCACTAATGAAACCTTTGAGGTGTGCCTCCCAGAGTCCGCCAGCGTCAGGATGCCAATAAAGAGCTTTAACGAGCAAAACCACAGGTTTCACGAAACGCTCGCGCCACCACCTTGGCCGGAGCTCAGGCGGGAGTCTGATCCAAGTTTGCGACCATCCTCGTAGCAAAGAAGGGTTTCTCATCCAAGCTACGCTGTGTACAACGCACGCACAAGGTGAACCTCGCTTGCATTGCAGAGCAGCTTGAAAGCGAACGCATCTCAATAGAATATGTCCAAACAGACATGCAGTCAGCAGACATTTTCACTAAAGCACTTCCTCCCAACAAGTGGGACCATGCCATCAGGTTGCTCGGCATTCGTGTTGACCTTCCAGAGAAGCTTGAAGATGTGCGTGAAAGTAGATCCGCTAAAGCAGCCGCCTAGTGCGCTGCAGCATGTCCGCAAAAAAAATCCAAAAGTGTGCAAGTGACTGGGCGATGCTTGAATAACTTGCGTCAGTCGTTGTGATGTAAACTTGACTTCAAGTTGGCGTGGTAATGCGCCCAAGACACTCCCTCAGTGCCGTCAATGAGGGGGGAGTCAATTATCACGATGACATTTATGGCCCAGAGGTTCATGAGGTAGGAACCCATGATACAAGTTGCAAGGCTGGACAACATGTCCGCATGTTGTCATTTGGTTCAAGGAAAAGAGCGCGTTGCACGCGCTGCCCACAAGTTAAGGGAGAGGTCGCAGTCACGGCGGGGCTCGTTCCTTTTAAGGTCCCGGGTTCCCCCGTTGTTGAGAAAACTGTGTTTCCCTCTCCTTTGAGTCACAAACGCGCAATTCAGAAAACATGAACGCGCAACATATATTTTTATTTATTTGTTTTTTTAAATACAAAAACGACGGTTGGGACAATCGGGAGGGTTGGGACGGTAGCAGTTTCCGAACCAGCGGCTGTAGTTTCCTAGTCCCGTTGGTTTCCGAGTCAGGGGCTTTAGTTTCCGAGTCCGGTGTTCTTGTTTCCGAATCAGGGCGCCGGTCGCGACTGGCGCGGGGGTAGAGGATGATGTTGTTGCGCTGATGCATTGTTTTGTATGGCCCTCGGGTGGCAATAGCTCCCGACCTCCCGGCAACCCCCGTAAAGTGAACCGCCGCACCGGGCCGCACCCGATGGTTTTGAGCTTTTTCGTTTTGAGGGTCGGAGGTGTTTCTCTGTGCTTTTGTGTCCCACAATGGTGCCCCCAGGTACCACATCTCCCCTGCTTTGGGCCGTTTTCGGTTTTGGGGGTTTGGGGGTTTCTATGTTTCGCCGATTTGGATGTGATTTCGCTAAAGTATGGAAAGGGAACCGTACCCCCGATACAGGACCCTTCCCAATGGACCGGGGAACGTGTGCGCGGGTGTGGGCGTACACATTGGACCTGGCCCAGGTCATGGTTTGGCGGCCCCGGCGAGCGCGGAAACAAGGCACACCGTGCCTTGCTTTTGGAATCGGGGTTTTTCTCACCTTCCGGAATGGAAGCATGGCGCCTAAAGCCAGGAGACCTGTACTTGTCTCCTTTTGGGATGATGTTAGGTACATCTAGTTGGAATGAAACTGCAAAGGACATTCCACATTTGGGGTTCGGGGGGGGCATCAGAGACTCCTGAGGCTGGTTGGCGGCAGGACATGCCCACCAATGCGATTGAACAGAATCATGCGGTGTGCCTCAAGATTGTGAACCGCCCCCCTGAAGGAGTCCAACTGGAGGCCATTGTTTAAAGAACAGTTTCAAAAAGGACAACGACGGGAAGCCACTCACTTTGTGTGGGATCTTATTTTTCAACAAACATGGAAGACTGCCTACTTGGTGGGGATGCATACTGGACGCATCCCTCCACCAATCAAGCGCAAAGCTGCGGCTTCGAAGCCACGGGCCGAAGCCTTGGCCAGGCCTCTGGGGTGCTGCGGCCCTCGCTGAAGGGCACCAAGGCCATGAAGCAGGCTCGAAATGGTGACGTGGCTATGTGACGTATGAGTGATGCACGTGTCAAAAGTCGGGAACCCTAAAATCACTGTTGAGAATATGAGAGGCAGAGAGGGAGAGAGGCCATCCCCAAGTCTCCTACTCTCCAATTCCCATGGTATGCGGTGGGCAAGTGGGCAGTCATGCGTGAGGGGCCCTGGTTTTTAGGGGGTGGGAAAAACTCCCGAAAGGGACGCCATAAGGGTTGAACTCCCCGTAGACCATGCTTGGCTTTGTCACTTTCAGCACGCCTCCAAAGTGAGGTGGGTTCGACTTGAACTAGGTACGTAAGCTAGAGGCATCCATGTCCTGCAAGCCTTTAGTCCGATTTGAGCAGGATAGTGGATGGTCGCAAGTGGGTGTCCGAGCAACGATTAGCGAGACCCAACTGAGAGAACAGGACGGGTGGATCTCGAGTGGCTGACCCCTCATGCGCAGGCGAAGAAGGAAGCGGACCCGAATGCAGACCTTCGCCCAGTGCAAGAGTTGCAGGACACCGTCCATGTGAACAGACTCTTTTAGGGCTGGTCATTTGAACAAATCAGGCTCTGAGTGTGTAACACATGCTCGGCTCCCAACCATCTACGACGTGGCGCCGCACAGGACTCGGAGTCGGCAGTGACCTGCGTGTGCTTCGGCCAAGAGAAGCTCCACCGCTCGTGCTCCAGGGGACCGAACGGAAAGTTGTCCTGTGGTCTTTCTTTAAACAACACCAAAAGGACATCCTATCCTGTAAATCGGGCCCTGGATTCTGATGAGCGCGTGGATGTAGATCCGGCTGCCGGGTCGACCCGTTGTATTCGGCCCGCAGCGCATCGATTTGGCTCAAAGGCGCCCATCAAGAGGCCTTCTGGAACCTCATGGCGGAAGTGGCGATTCATTTGCACCTCCATTCGCACGCGCACCCGCCTGGCCCGATCAACGATGGCTCGCTGGCATACAGACCCTTGCCAGGAAATCCGTTGCCCATTTTGATGCAGCATTTTTGATGCGGCCAGCGACTGGCTGTTAATAGAAGTTGCCAAGACGTTTGGCATTTCCCAGCAGCCCGCCATTTGGGGATCTCTTCGAAGTGACAAATTAGTCAACGAGGATGGGAATCCGATGGCATCCCACTTTGAGACAGGTGCGATATATCACCATGTTTGAGTTAGGTAGGGCCATGCGCAACTTTTTTCGGACTCAAAAGTCTAGGGTCTACCCTAGGTTTTTTTGCATTTTTTGAATAAGCGCCTCAAAACAGCCATTTTAAAACATTTTTTGAAACAGTCTAAACACATTTTGATAAATATTTTTTAGTACTGCATACCAAAACAAAAATTGAATTATTTTTTGAAAAAATCAATACACCTAAACATGTTTATTTTCAAAAACACACATTTTCCAAAATATTTTAGAAAATATATTTTTTTCAAAAGAGATAAATATATATATCATTTTAAGAAGAATTATTCAATAAGAAACAACATTTTCAATAATTCAATGAGAAGACAAATAATTAATCATTTTTCAAATTTTGGATATTCCGGAGTTGCGCATGGCCCACCTTGTAGGATTTTATCTTCAATATATAAAACGCTATACTTACATTATAATTATAACATATAAGGGTATAAATGTTATTATTATAGTATGGTTATAATTTAAATTCAGGATAACTATTTAATTGATATATCTTTCCTCTTTCATACATCATTTTAATAATACTATTAATATCTCTCACTGTATTTTTAACATTAAACTTTTCACTTTCAATAAATAATTTAATGATTTTTTTTTACATCAACCCCTTCCATTTTATGATAAATCAATGCCCATAATATGTAGTCAATAATTTCATACTTTTTCTTACTGATTTTAAGAAATGCTTTAACATAATCATAAGGCGGTATTTCATACACAGTTAAAAATATCAAAATGTCATCTTCAACATTTCTTTTATTAAACCTTTTAATATCTAAATTATATTCGATTGCGTCTTGGTAATATCTCCATTTTTTACATGTTCTGCATATATTTTCTTTACCCAAAGAATAATCAACAATATTATTAACTATTCCATTAGGTAAATTTAATTTATATAATTCCATATTTTCCTTTTTGAAGTGGCAACAGTCATAGCATTTCTTATTGATATAATTATGGATTTCGGTTTCCGCCATTACACACTATATAATAATATATAGCTTTTATTTCTTTAAATACTTTTTTCCAAGAAATAACATTAAATATTGAAATATAATAATAACATATAATATTTTACATGTTATTATTATATTATGATTATAATTTCAGTTCAGGATAATAAGTTAATTGATGACTATTAAATTGTGTATATATCTTACGTTTGTCATGCATCAGTTCAAAAATAATATTGATATCTCTCACGGTATTTTTCACATTAAACTTTTCACTTTCAATATATGATTTAATGTCTTCTTTTAAATCACACTCTTCTCTTCTACGATGTAACAACATCCATAATATGTGTTTAATCATTTCATACTTTTTCTTACCGATTTTGAGAAATGCTCTAACATAGCTATAAGGTGGTATTTTATACACAGTTAAAAATATTATAATGTCGTCTTCAACATTTCTATTATGTCTTCTTTTCAGATTTAAATGACATCTGATTAATTCTTGATTATCTCTCCATTCCTGACAAATGTTACATTCATCTTCTTCATCCATTGAATAATCAATAATATTATTAACTATTCCATTAGGTAAATTTAATTTATATAATTCCATATTTTCCTTTTTGAAGTGGCAACAGTTGTAGCATTTCTTATTGATATAATTATTGATTTCGGTTTCCACCATTTCTATTATAATATATATAGTTTTTATTTCTTTAAATACTTTTTTTACAAGAAATATTAAAATATTATTTAAATTATTATCATTTACAACTACAATTGCATCTAACACAGTAAGGAATAATATTATTCAGTTCGTGTGACAACTCGTTTGATTTACGTTGCGCTGTCAGATTTGTCATTATATTACCGTTTTTAATATCCATAGAAAAACCGCATCCGCAGTAATTACATTGATTAGTGATATTATTTAAAAACCATTGCGCATTTACATAACCTTCTTTAGGTATTGTTCTTTTGGCTTTCCTGTCTTGTTCTTTGTAATTTAATATTTTCCTTTCAAAATAACTCATAATACATTTTTGATTAAATACATCATCAATATCTTTCGTATATTTATAAAATTTGACTTTGTTTAAATCTCTACACCTTGTAATTGCAGTCCATATCCATTCTGGATAATTCTTTACCAAAAAATGGTTATAATCAAAAATTGTTATGGTGTCATCAATGCTACTGCCTTGGGCAGAATGACAAGTCGAGCAATATGCAAATATAAAATTACTTCTTATTTTATCAACTGGCAAAGACTGTAGAATTTCAGTTTTAACATTTTTCAACGTAAATATTCCATCGCTTCCAATATGAACAATTTTATATTTGAAATTTACATTAAAAACTGATGTTTTAGTTGTTGTATATTCTCTACAAATTAAAAATTCTCCTACTTCATATTCATCTTTTCTATTTTCTAATTTTCTAATTTCATTTGATACATTTTTACAAGTTGTATTTAAAAATGCTATGTTGTTGATTGATTTGCTTATGTCAGTTGTATATTCAAAGTATTTTTCAATAACTTTCATAATAGGTAATTTATTTTCAAAAATATCAATTTTAATATTTCTTAGTTTATCTTTATCTTCCTGTGTGTTAAGTCGCTTACATTCTTTTAACAAAATATTATATTCAAAAATGTTATCTATAATGTTATCAGTATATACTTCATAGTCTCGAGTATTTGTTATCTCTTGAACTGGTTTTAACTGCTTGGTGTCTCCTGTTGCTATTATAATTTTGTTGTGCTTATTCTGTTCTACAAATTGTTTTATTCTCCAATATATATTTAAATTACTAAAATAAACTTCGTCAAATACTATAACATCAAAATCTGTAAAATCAAATGGTTCTAATTTAGCATCTCCATAATTAATACCGAAAAAATTATTTATTGTCATTGCTTCGCCTTCGAATGCCTGTAATAGTTTATTAGTAGGACAAATAAAAATTACATTATAATTTTTATCAACCATTTTTTGACATATATATGATTTTCCTGTGCCCGGTAGTGCTCCACGAATCATAATAGGATTATTTTGTTCAATAATTTCTATAATATTATCTGTGTCATATTCATCTACTATATCAATAGTTTTACTTTCATAAATTGGTATTTGTATTAATTCGTTTTGTGTAATTTCATAATCTACAGTAGGAAATTTAATATATTCGTCGTTTGAAATTCTCCATCCTCCTATTTCATTATTAAAGATTAAAAGCTCTCTTGCTTTTGTTATATCCGATCGCGCTATTGTAAACGCATCTGTTTTGACACTGAACACATTAATACCATTTTGATATAACTTAGAATAATCTTGATACATTCTAAAATTATGGTATTGAAGCAGTAGCTCTTTTACATACCTAAAACCATTCCTTAAGCGTGATGTGTCCTTTAAATTAAGTATATAATATGACGCCTGTTCTTCTTCTGCTGTATATTGTTCTTCATCTACTGTAATTTGTTCTGTCGTGAAATGTGTTAATTTATGTATTTTACCTCCATACTCTGCCTGATAGTTTAAAGCTTCCTTAAGATTTTTAAACACTGTGCTCTTCTGGTCAGTTGCTCCCCCTTTTTCTAAAAGTCCATAATTAACATTTGCGACCAGTTTTTTTATACATTTATCTTCCTCATTGTCTTCGCTAATGTTTGTGTTCCAAAGTTCATTAAGAATATTTTTATGTTCAACTTTGTGAATAAATGAAGGTTGTTTAAAGTATAAAATATTAATTCGTTCTCTTGTCATGTTATCTAGTTGTTTCAAAAATACACCATATATTAAGCAATATTTTTTATTAAATAGCATTCTTCCTGTCCGTTTTAGTATAGTAGTTTTCTTTTCTATATAATATAACGTTAAGTCGTGTAGGTCATAAATATCAGTTGTGTCATCAAACGCTCGCCAAATGTCGAATTGATTAAATACTGGTATTTCTGATATAGTAATAAACGCATGAGTAAATGCTTTTGATATATCGATTTCGATTTCATTTTTGATATCGCCCCTATCGCACAATAAGCCAGATGGAACAACTGTTCTGGCTTCGTCTAAAATTTGAATATCAATGTCATTATAAAACGATTTATGAGATAAGTTAAACAATGACTTATTAAAATTAAACATTGCTTTATTCATATTGTTATATGTAGTTTCATCACATACTGCAATACATCCATCTGCAGAAGTTTTTATTAAATTTTGTGTTTTTATTATATATATTGTTTTGTTAAATTTTATTTTTATTTCTGATATAATACCAGCTTGAAATCTAATTCTTGGTTCGTAGCCACTATTAACTAAATTGAAAAATAATTCAGATAACTTATTGTCTTCGGATACTAAATATATCTCTTTTGTTTTTTCATCAACTTTGATATTTAGTATATCGTCAATATTTTTTATCATTCTATAAAGCGGTGGTTCCTCTCTTTCATTAATATAGTAGTCGGTTGAAGCTTTGACAGTTGGTATCTTGGTTATTAATTGTTTCTGTTGAATGCTTTTTAAGTCGTGATTCATTGCGTAAATATGACTGTTTTTGACCATTGCATAAAATGGTTTGATGTGCCTACTATTTATATCGGGGTCGCATTTATAAATTAATTTATTGCAACAATCATAAATTCTGCATGGAATTTTAAACTGTTTAAATACAGCCTCCATCTCGTGAATGGTTGCCCCCGTTTCACTAAAGTTATCTCTACCTATAATTTCAACTACTCTCTCTCTAGTTAGTCTATTACGGGTCCTTTCATTCATAATTGTATCACTGTAA